CCATTCTGTAGGACCACTTTTTTCCCCGATGTGAACTTTATAAAGCTGACCTCACGCGTGGGTAGTTCCTATACCCACGAGGTATTGTCAGCGCACAGAAAAATCCAAAATCAAATAAAGCACTCCGTCCCGCCATCCACAAGAAGTAGAGACAGTTCTATTTGACTAAACTAGTAAAGTAACCGGTGAGTAGAGCCATAAAGGCAATGTAGAAACGTCCAAGCCCGAAACATCAAAGTTCCAACAGAGTCCAGCCCCTAAGTATATGAGGAGTTCCTATCCCCAGTAGGATAAGTTCAGGCCTTCTTTTTCCTAGGAGGACTCTTGATCGGGGATGAGAAAGAGGTGGAGGCATTCCCCCAAGACTCAAGGAACCTCTGAGCTTGATCCACAGAAGTGAAACGCCATGCTTTACCGTCTTCCGTGGAGAAGCGAAGCACCACGGGGTACTTTAAGGCGAATTTAATGCGATGTCTAACCAGTGTTTGGCATACCTCATGGAAGGATTTTCTCAACTTTGATGTTTCCATAGAGTAATCCGCAAAGAGTAGCAATTTAAGGCCGTCCACCACAAGGTTACGCTGGGCGCGATAGGTTTGGAATATGTTCTGCTTGTCATAATAATCAAGGTAACGCACTATCACAGGCCTAGGTTTGTTGTCATCTCTGGGCGGACCCAATCTATGCGCCCTCTCCACCTTGCAAAGAGCGGATAGGCCCAGGGCCTTCGGAACTTCCGTAGAGCAAAAAGTGCGCAAATCCACCGGTTTTACTGATTCTGGAACCCCAATTATGCGCAGATTATTGCGTCTTGAACGGTTCCCCAAATCGTCAACCTTGTCTTGCAAAGCATGTATGCGTTTAGCCATATCCCCATGAGAGCGGTGGGAGTCTGCAGCGTCATCCTCCAGATCAATGATACGCTTTTCCATGGCGTGCATATGTTTGTTTTGAGCTTCCATAGTAGCATTAAGTTTCCCCAGATGGAGTTGCAGAGTATCCGCTATGATAGCAGCCATATCAGATTTTAAAAGTTTAGCCACTTCAGAGGCAATCAGAGAATAATTGATCCCTGTGTTAGATGGCTCTGCAGGAGCTGACTCCCGTCTGGCCCGTGACGTGCTCCTGCTGCATGTCGTCGGCGGCCATGTTGGACTCCTCGTCTCCGCCTGGTGTGCTCTCTATGAGAGCTTTCCGGGTTTTCGGCTGGCGTGCCAGGTATCGTTCCATTGCGGGGGAGCGGGCAAGCGGCTTCGGGCGGACAGCTGACTGCGGGTAAAGTTCCGGTAATTAGGCAATGTCGGATGACGGGACGGAGCTCCGAGCCGTTCGTCTATAGCATCGGGCGCCGGAACCGGAAGTAAGAGATACTATTTTAATAGGCATCATGGAAGCGTGTCAGGTCGCAGGGTGTATGCGTCGTACTCGCAGTACTGGAGGCAGCAAACGGGAAGCAGGTGATCAAATGTGGAAGGGCCATCGGTTGACGGAAGGTAGGCGATTCCTCTGAGGAGTGAAGCATCAGGCGATCGTAGGTGTAAAGGTTCCTTGGTTGGCTCAGATAAAGAAATGAACGTAGAAAAGGAATAATAGGGTTAAACTGTAAACAAATAAAAACAAGATCTCAGAACGGGATCACAGTGCAGCGTTTGAAGCTGCGCAACATGGGGAGGGTATCACAGAAGTGAGCAATGTGGCACCAAGAGGCATTAGGTGTTCACGGGGATCCTTCCAGACAGTCATCCAACACCATTTTCTTTAGCTCTAGCATTACGGTTGCGTCGTGGAGAACGCCACTCAGGGGAGTTGCCCCGTGGGGACGCATCTGGTCGGGGGGTGGATTCGGCTGGTGGACGAATATCCCATTTTTTGAGAAGGGACAGGCCTTGGTCTGGGGACATCACGGTCTAAGTGTCGTCACCTCAGGTTATAAGAAGTTTGGCCGGGTACCCCCATTTGTAGCGGATTTGGTGGATCCTCAAAGCTTTGGTGACAGGGAGAAGGCGTCTCCGGAATAACATGGTATCTTGAAACAAATCTGTGAAGAATTGGAGGTGGGTGTATTGCTTAGGGATATGGGCAGCATCTCTGACAATTTGGAGCAGTTTGTCCTTTACATGAAAGAAGTGCATGCGTAGTAAAACATCCCGGGGCACCTTGTCTGGCAGAAACAAAGGTTTAGGGAGACGATGAATACGGTCAATAATAAGATCAATGGTGGTCGCTTCCGGGAGCACCTGTTGGAATAGGATCTGAACATATTGGAGGAGGTCACCCTGGGTGATCAATTCAGGCATGCCACGTATTTTGATGTTGTTGCGGCGTGACCTGTCTTCAAGATCTGCCACTTTAGCTTTCACCCAGTCTAGGTCATCCTCTCTAGCGTTATGTGAATTCACCAGATCATTAAAGGTGTCAGCAAATTCACCCATTTTGTCTTCCACGTGGGATACTCTGTCACCTAATTGGTTTATATCTGATTTAAATTGGGATACAAAGGATTGCATTTCAGCGGTTAGAGAGCTTCTTAGTGAAATTAGCATGTCTCTAAGAGTGGAGTCTGATATAGACTGGTGAGAGATAGGAAAAGCTTCCAGGGGCTCTATCAATTCCCTGGTGTCTTCCATAGATGAATTGGTTTTGCTCACCTCATTGTGGGCCTCCATCTCTGAGGCAAGCCGCGGCCTAGATTTTACAGGGCTCTGGCCCTCGGGCGGTGTACCGCGAGGTGAGGACTTCTCTGATCCGGTCTCTGAGTGCTGAGACCTTGATGGTCCATCAGGGGAGTAAGAAGTCACGGCCACAGCTGGGGCCTTAGGTGTAGCTTTGTGTGACTGACCGCCGCCATCTTGGCCCCGCTTGCGCGATGGCGCTGCGAAAAAGTCAGTTAGCCTGCGAGGACGGGAGCTCTTTTTTTTCTTTTTTGGCATCTCCACCGGGTGCTGTGAGTCCTTAGGAGCCCGGGAGTGTCCGGAGGTCCGATGGGTGTTGCTGATATTAGCCTCTGGGCGCAATGCTGCACGGAGCTCTCTCAAGCAGCGTCCATGCAGATCGAGCGCCGGGCCACGCCCCCGTGCGTCTTTTTTAAAGTGTTCTTGCGACATAATGTTTGCGACTCACTGCACATGTTTTGTGACATTTCACATATTATTTCAACTGTGCTGTATTTGTGTACAGCATTTGGGACAGTAACAGATTTCCAAACAGGCACACATCCTAGAAGTGCTTCTGAGCAAACTTTCTCAAAGATGACTCATGCCTTCAAGTCAGCTGAGCACCTCAGGCTATTGAGCTATCATCCAGGATGTTCCCAGCAAGCGTGCGACAGTTTAGAGACAATTTAGAGACAGAAATATAGAGACAGTTTGAGACAATTCTCCTTATGAAGGCATTTAGGAATGAAACCTAAACTAAGATAATAAATCTGTTGCTATATGCACTAGAAATAAGGTATACGACAGTTTGAGAGACGCTGATGATGCGACAACATTGATAAATTCCCCCGAATGTATCTTGGCATTCATTGTATCTCTATGAGTAAACCTAAATAGTGAAATGCATTCGAGTTTGAGGATCTATGGGGGAGGAATGGACAGTGTGTATTCTGTTCTCTAAATAAAAAAATGTTATTTCTGGTGAAGAGCCTGAAATAAATATATTGCAAATTGGAGTAATTAAGTTTGAGAATGGAAGCAGAAATGAAGGTGAAATATAAAACTAAAACAATTCGGAATCGCTGCCAAATTAAAATGACATTGAAACAACCCTGCCTTATGATGAAACCTGCCTATGTACCTGTGACAAAGAAAGAAAATACTTACCTCCCCTGCTACCTGTGCATCTGAGTGCCCTCTGCTGAAAGGAATTCATCACTACTATGTCCTTATTGGTGGGCGGAACCCCTGAGCACCGTGGAAGACACAGGAGATTGACACTACTGTAAGGGCCCTGTCACACCATATCCAGTGCGTTTCAAGCTCAGAATGCACTGGATCGCATAGCTCAAGCCGAGGACAGTTCTGGGGCTGGTGGGGGCGTGTCAGTGCCATTCATGTCAATGGAACCGCAGACGTGATCGCCAGCACTGGAATGCAAGGTACAGGAATGCCCTCTGTTCCAGTGCAGTGCGATCTGAAAAAATACTGCATGCACTATTTTTTCACATTGCACTGCACGGGAATGGAGGGCATTTCTGTAGCCTCACGTTCCGGTGCGGATAGGGTGTGTGTCTGCAGCGGTATTGACATGAATGGCACTGACATGCCCCCTCACGCCCCAGGATGCTGCCCAGCTTGATCTATGCGAGGGTCACTTTAATAACTTAAATTATTATCAGAGACATAGTCTGTTATTTTTTAAGGGAAGTCTGCCTGACATTTTTAAGAGTGTTTTATTACCATAAGTCAGCACATAATTTATTTTAGGCTGTGATCTTCTTCCAGAATTTCTGCAGTGAAACATCTGCAGCACAGATCGCATAATATAATTTCTAGTGCGGAATACAATTATATATATATATATATATGTATATACAGTATGTGTATATATATACACCTATATACACATATAAGTGTATACTTTATGATACAGCCGAATCTTCATTTTATGGAAGGGTTATATGCCACTTGTAGGAGTAGGATGCTATGCAGACGGAAAAAAAACAGCAAAGCACAGCCTTGCTTTCCGATCACTTCGGGGAGACCCGTCGAGCAGCTCCCAGGCGCCGCACGGGGACAGCGGGGACAATGGTACAAACGATCCGGTGGCTGTACAGACGCTGGATCGCTTGTACACTAACAGCCAATGCTGCTGTTCAAAGAAGTGGTTAAATAAAAGGTTTTTTTTTTTTATTATATTGGCTTAGTTTTACAAATCACATTATTTAAAATCCATGAACCTAATTAAAATGTCTAATATAATACACACAATTATTAAAAAGAGATTTTACTCTGTCACCCCTACTGTTCAACCTATCCCTAGAACCACTAGCAGCACGCATCATGCACTCAGACGCGTTCCATGGGATCAAGGTGGGCAAAGCGGAACTTCGACTGGCAATGTTTGCTGACGATGTTCTGCTGTTCACCTCCCGCCCGAAGGAAGACATCTTATTCATTAGAACTTTGTTAGATCATTTTAAAACGTTCTTGGGACTCCGGATTAACTTCCTGAAGAGCGAAATCCTCCCCCTGTCAGGGACGATGGGGTGGGATGGGCAGGGAGTCATGAGGGTGGCACAGCAGCACATAACTTATCTAGGTATAAAGGTGGGGAAGACTCCTTCTCTTTACCACCTCAACTACCCCCCGCTCATACAAAAAATTTGTAGGGAATTAGATATGTGGAAGGACCTTCCCTTATCGCTCTCCGGGAGAATTCACCTCATTAAAATGATGAGTTTCGCAAGGTTACTATACCGACTGCAAACTCTCCCCTTAATGTTGAAGACTACTGATATCTCTTGCCTAAATAGAGCCATGTCAACGTTCATTTGGCAGGCGAAACGGCCGAGAATTTATTTCAAGAAACTCTGGCTCCCGAAGGGTGAGGGGGGAACTAACCTCCCGAACATCAAACTGTACAATATGGCTTGCTTACTTCGTCATGCACTAGATTGGATATCCGATAGTGAAGTCTATTCAAATACCCAATTGGAGACAGAGTTAATCAACCCATGGGATCTTAGGGCGGTCCTCCACTGCAAAATCTCTAGCCCTACCCCAGCGCATTCGACACATTTCACTGATTAGGGACACAATTACTGTTTGGCGAGAGATCAGGAAATCTCTCAAACTGCCTTTATGTATGTCCTCACACTGTCCCATCATGGGACACCCCTCATTTGTTCAAGGCTTAGATTACTCAGCATTCCACAAATGGAAAGAGAAGGGCCTCCATCTCTGGAAACAACTATTTGACCCCCAAACCTTCGCCCCTTTACTCTTTCAAGGATCTGATACAACAATATCGTATCCCCCCCCCCCAGGACTTTCTACACTACCTACAGCTAAAGACTGCGTGGCACAGTCTCGGGGGTAAGCCGAGATCCCTTTTCTCATCATCATTTCTGGACGCCCTTGTATCAAACAAAACATATTCTATTTCGGAACTATACCCAAGACTACAAACACTATTTATACCCCCCCTCTCAGGGTCAAGTGTGAAAGGGTGGTCAAGAGACTTTGATGATCCGGATCTGTTACCTAAACTACTTGAGGGGTACACCAAGACGAGATCAATAAAAACAAACGAAATTTGGAGGGAGACCCAATTTAAAATTTTACATCGAGCCTACGTCCCTTACTTCATTCCAGCAACGACGCCTTCCTCATTAAACCAACCAATATCGATATGTCCGAAATGTGGACTCCAACGCCCAACCTTACATCACTGCTTTTGGGGGTTCCAGAGATATCGGACTTTTGGAACCAAGTTCTTGCATATATCAACACTATTGTTTCCTGGAAACCAGACTTGGAGTACTCATTGTGCCTTTTTGGCTACCTGGACCGTTCTACCAACCATCGAGGTCAGACCAAATATAAAGGACTGGACTGGGTGCACATCTGCCTCCTGGTGGCTAGGAGATGTCTCATGAGACACTGGAACGGCCCATCAGCCCCCAAGGTACAGGAAATCATTAAAGACTTGACAGCGTTACTGGCCAAGGAAAGACTAGAGGCAGAAATGCACAAAGATAAACAGGCCTCATCCTTCTTCAAAAGATGGAAACATTTCATTGTAAAAACATTAACGGTAATGGAGATAACTCACCTGGTTCAGCCCTTTAGATATACAAAATGGTATTTAGAGGCAGATGTGTCGATCACGCTGGGGAGCCTGCGATTGGCGCAGGATTTGATTACCTCCTACCTGCCAGATACTTGGCCTAGCCTCAGCCCCTACTAGATCCAGAAATTACATAGAGTCTGTTCCTGATAAGCAGTGGTTTAACAGGGGAGCGGATAGCACAGGTACCCTGACACATCCTACACGGCTGATGTATAATGAATATGGATATGCACACTTATGTAACCTTTGCCACCTAACACCGTGGTATTGCCTCACAATGCCACAGTATATAAATAAAGGTGGGAAGAGTCATTTTCAGTTTCGGCCTAACAAATTTTGCTGCGGGAGGTGCGTTGCAGTGCCATTCATTTCAATGGATCCCAAATGCACCTCCCGTCCGCGGTGTGATCGCCCGCACTGGAACGCGTGATACTGAAATGCCCTGCGTTCCAGTGCGATATCAAAAAATGTGTATACCGTTTTATTCTGAAGTAAACTTTATGTAACGCTGAATTAGTGTATGTTATTTTAAATTATTATTTTATTATTTTATCCGATTAATCAAGGTTAATAATCTGCTAACTAATCGATTATGAAAATAATCGTTAGCTGCAGCCCTAGAGAAAAGGTACCCAATCCTCTACCTGGGTGGTAAGTAGTGCTCTCTTCCCTGCTAGGATGTTATAGGGCGCAGATCCGGGTGCCTCTCTTCAGGTAGTCACCTGTAAGCTGGCTAGATCAGTCCCGTTCCCCTGGGTTCTCTACTGCCATGCCTGTGGCTGTATGTTCCCAGGCTTCTGTCCTTACTGGGCTTATCCCTCAGCTGCAGCCTGCTTCTCCCTTCTCACTGCCCGAGTACTGCACTGGTTGGATCTGTCCCTCTCCCCGGGGTTCCCTTCTGCCATAACTGCAGCCATCTGTTCCTAAGCGTTTGCTGTACTTGCTGGGCTTCTCCCCCCTTCCCACTTTCTCTATTTTACATTGGAGGACTACAAGTCACAGCATGCCCTGTATTTACTATGTATTGTGCACTAGAGGGCTACGAGTCCCAGCGTGGCCTGTGCGTGTTGCATTTCATACATTAGATCTCAGCATGCTCTTAACATACTGCATATTATACACTAGAGGAATACAAGTCCCATCATGCCCTGTATGTACGCTGTATTATACATGAGGACTACAAGTCCCAGCATGCCCTGTACATACTGTGTATTTTACACTAAATTGCTACATGTCCCAGTATGACCTGCATGCATTGCATATTGTACACATTCCCTCTTCCACCTCAGTTTTCAGGGTCTGCTTTGGGGGTCCCGGGACTGTGTTGCTGTGGAGGTGTTCACCTCCATTTTGGTAGAGATGTTCTCGCATAGTATAGCCTTGACCTGCAATGGGGCCCGGGGTGCCCATCTAGGTGGTTTCAGTTTCTCCTGACATGGGGGTGCTGGGCTCTGCTGCTCAGGCAGTAATGACAAGTTTCCTCCGCTGGTGAAGGTATGGTCTTTACCTTTCTGGGGCTCTGTGTCTATTATGAGGATTCTGTGGATGCTCCATCAGATCCTCTGGTTCCTTTGGTGCACACAGATCATGGCACTTGTTTAGTTAAGACCAGTGTCTTATCATCACTTACTCATAGGGAATGGTAGTGTCCTTCGTGGACTTGTCCTACCTAGGTGTGTTTTCGTTTCGCTACCTTTTTTATGGAGGGTCCCCTAACGCAGCAGACATCTCCCCCAGTTGTGTACCCATCTGTATCGCGCCTGTGCAAACGGACGGTTATGGATAGGGAGTCTCCCTCTTTTGAGGAATCTGGAGACCAGGAAAGAGGGTTCAGACCCTTCTTTCAAGTCAGTGATGAGTTTGACCAGGGTGGAATTTTTTTAAATGAATTTACGATAATAATTGGCGAAGCCCAAAAATCGTTGGGTGGAGCGTAAACCAACTGGGTGAGGCCATAGGAGCACGGCTGCTCATTTCTGCGGGTCCATGGAAAACCCCTTGTGTGAGATAACATCCGAGGAATATGACTTGGACTTGATGAAACTCACACTTTTCGAGTTTACAAAATAGCCAATTCTCCCGCAGACGTTGGAGTACTCGGGCTACATCAGCCTGATGGTTAGCCAGTGAGGGAGAATGGACGAGTGTATCATCAAGATATACTACAACACATTGTTGAAGCATATTGCGCAACACTACATTTATGAATTCTTGAAAGCTGTTTAGCAGCAGAGACGGATCGAGCTGGCACATCAAATACCCGTCTGAAGGAGGCCTCAAATTCTGGGTAGTTGAAAATAATGGGCTTATCGTTCTCCCAAAGCGGATTAGCCCAGGCTAATCCTTTATCCGTCAATAAGGATATCGAGAACCCGACCTTCGCCCTGTCACCAGGAAATGCCTGCGGAAACAACTCAAAATAGATTCCCACCTGGTTCAGGAATCTGCGGCAATGATTGGGGTCTTTCCCGTAGCGTCGGGTGAGGGAGCTTGATCCGACATGCCCCTTCCAGGGGTAGGCTCAGGAGCAACGGAAGGACCAGCTGGGTAGTGGCAGGGCCCGGAGGCAAGGCATTAACTGGGTCCAAATGAGCCGTGCGAGAGAGCAGGTTCTGCAGGGCCTGAGTGAACCGCTTCATTCTTTGATCCTGTGAATCAAGCCTGGTAAAAATTGTCTGCAATGGAGAGGGCAGGGGCGTATCTGCCGCGAGGCAAACAAGGCGTTTGCCTCGGGCGGCTGATTTCAAGGGGGTGAAATGCCGCCCCCAAAACAGCAAGGTAGGTAGTGAGGGGGCGGCGAGGAAGCCGGTCCCCCTAAGTGCCGGTCGGTTCCATGGAGAAAGGGGGGGAGGAGAGAGATCTAAAGCTGTGCAGGATGGGATGAGGGTCTGTGTGCAGGATGGGGGTTCTGTGGCTGTGTGCAGGATTGGGGTCTGTGACTGTTTGCAGGGTGGGGTGTGTGTGGCTGTGTGCTGGCAGAGATCTGTGGCTATGCAGGCTGGGATGGGGAGGGTGTCTGTGCAAGGGGAGATCTGTGGCTGTGTGCAGCATGGGGGAGGGGGGATCTGTGGATATGCAGGATGGAGGGGGGATCAGGGGCATATCTGCCGCGAGGAAAACAAGGTGTTTGCCTCGGGCAGCAGATTTCAGGGGGCGGCAGAAATGCCGCCCCCAAACCATTAGGCAACCGGGAGGCGGCGGCGGAGTCATCAAAGGATGGAGTCAGCGAGGAGGCAGAGCAAGCGTAGGTGGAGCAGGTGGAAGAGGCAGAGGAGACTGAGCAGCAGGAGGGGCAGGTGAAGCAGCAGGAGGGGCCGGGACGACGTCGGATCAGGAAGTGTCGGGGCCAAGGCGCCGTCGCGCCGTAGGAAGACGGCGCATGCTGGACAGAACACCGGGTCACCAAAGAGCCGTCGGGCTGCAGAGGAGACTAGGTCCTGCAGCACCAATCCAGTGGTGGAGGAGGCCGGGGACCAAGCACAGCCCAGCATGGATTCTGCAGAGCCCACCACACATCCTGCACCGGTCTGCAGGGTCGCAGGGCGGGTGTGCATGATCTGTGGTGGGCTCTGCAGGGTCTTGGGGGCTTTGCAGGATCTGTGGTGGGCTCTATGACAGAGCCCACCACAGATCCTGCAGATTTAAGGAGGGGGCAGTCCTAGTTTTGTCTTGCCTAGGGCAGCCCCAAACCAGAATACACCACTGGTAGAGGGACTGGGTTTACACTAGCACCGTCCGGATTCATGGTCCTTGCGTAATGTCAGAGCATGAAAACCAGACTAGCGAAAGGTGCTAGTTAAAATATTTATTAAGAACTGTGTCCACAGGAGCAAGCAGAATCATAAACCAGAACAAGCCAGAGTCAGGAGCCGGAGTGGGTAGTCGTCCAAGCCAGGTCAGGAACACAGAGATCAGCGTCATCAGGAACAAACCAGGAGCAGGAGTCAGGAAGTCAGCGTTGTCTGGAACCAGCCAGGAGCAGGAGCCAAAGGAGAACGTCAGCCAGGATCGGGTCATACACAGAATCAGGATACTCAGAGCAGCAGGAATGCACTAGCAGGAAGACCATGCAAGGGCAAGGTCAGACTGGACTGAGTGGTTTATATATAGTGAGTGGGGTGACATCATCACTCAGAGACAGGAAACTCCCATCTGACTCTCTCAGATGGTGCTCTCCTGTCTGGCCATAAGAGGGAGCCTTGGAGTATTGGAGTAGTGAGCAACATTCCAGAGTCTGCTCAGGCAAAGAAGGAAACAGGTGAGTAAAATGGCAGCCACGCCAGAATGCTGCAAACCAGTAAAGTCAGGGTGGAACCTTGTGGGTAATGTACAGGTTTTGCTCTACTAATGTGTAGCCAATGCTTCAATTTTATCTAGGTCTGGTTGAAGTGCAGATATCTTCTGTTAGGAAGTTACTGCCCTACAAAGTTTAGTATCGTCGGTAAAAATGGAAATTGAACTATATATACCTATCTCTATGTCGTTGATGAATAGAATAAACAAGATTGGTCCCAGGACTGACCCCCGGGGCACCCCAATCCCGACTTTTGCCCAGTTAGAGGATGACTCATTTATTACTACCCTCTGGGTCCATTCTTGCAGCCAGTTTTCCACCCATGTACATACAATTTTCTCCAAACCGACAGAAATGTGAATTAAACGTTTGTGGGGTATGGTATTGAAAGCTTTATCAAAGTCCAGATACTGATATTCCTCTGTCTAAATTAATACCGACCT